TCTAAGGAGAATACATTATTTGCCTCTTTCTGTTTGCAGCTTGTCACTTCAAAACCAATCCTCATTTCCTTTAATTAAAAAGGTACCTGACTTCCACAGAAGCACTGGACTTGCCCGTAATAGCTTCTTGTCATGCATGGCCAGGTGCAGTCACTGCAGCAGTATTGCCAACCCAAAGATCTTGAGTTGGGATTAAAAAACCCAACCCAGTTATTACAAAAAATATTTGGGGTTCTCTTTATTTGAAGTCTGGTTTCTGAGCGTGAAGGTGAACTCAGTTCATGTTTTCAAGCTTTTCTTGGCAACCATGATAGAACCTTACTCGTTTTTTTTTTTATGAAAATTGAGATTCTTATCTAATCAGTTGACTCCAGAAGCTGGGGCTTTAAGGAAAAGCACCAGCTATCACGATAAAATATCCAACCACCAAATATCCTGGGATAAAGTTGTGAGAGTTGGCAACACAATCCAGTGCCTCAGAATAAAAATAGCTGAGCCTGATTGGAAACTGATTCAGAGGGCATAGACTTTGGCTCTGGCTGTTGAGTTTGTCCTTTGAGTGGGAGGTTGCAGGAATTTGTCTGGGAGTTTCTGCCTTCTTGAATTATGGTGGAAATCTGATGAGGTTAGCTATCCTTGAGATCTCAGTCACACTCTAACTGGAGTCAGAGAACAGGTCCCTTCCCATTTTGGAGCCAACCCAGAACCAAAACCATAGAGGTGGACTTGAATCAGGGGACTCACATGTGACCCCAAACAACTGACAGCAGTTCTGAGTTAGGTTCCAGCACAGACCTATCTCTCTCTCTCTTCTTTTTTTTTTTTTGGTCACAAGCCACTTTTCCTCCCAGTTCCTCAGAAAGATGTGGTTTGAGTGAAGGACTGGGAACCAGGAATGGCTGAATTCTAACCTTGTTCTCATACTGACTCCCTGTGTGGCCTTGTAAATCACATAACTCCTCCGTGCCTCAGTTTCCCCATAAGTAAAATGGGACTAATCCTAACCCTGTTCATTAGGGGTGGGGGTTGTGAGGGTTAATTTGTGTTTGTAAAGTTCTCTGAGGATGGAAAGTACTTAGTACTGTTGAGACTGGTGCAGGCTAAAAATCAGACTCTGTTTCTATAAACCATAATGGGAGATTCCCCTATAGTGTCTTTGTCTCCCTTGAATGGCTGATACACATAAGACTATCAGAGTCTACCTCTGCTGCGACTTAGCTCGAGAGTCCATTAGCCCAGGTAGTCGAGGCTCATGCTATTACTCTTAGAGCAAAGATCTAGATCTAGAATTGCAGCCCAAATGGAGGCAATTATGTTTAGTATTATGGCCACACAGCACCATCTCTCTGCCCTCCCCCCCCACTGGTCTGCAGGATTGTCCCTGAAACATGGCAGAGTCCTGGGGGCATTGGGGTCCCAGAGTTTCTTGGGATGGGCCACAAGCAGGGTAGCTGTGGGATAACTCAAGGTGCTCATGTGGGCTCATGAAGTAAAACCAAGGCAACAGATTGAATTTGAGATCAGTCACAAGAGCACCCCCTGGCCCTCCCCCTCCCCAAAACAACAACAATCATAATTTAAACAATATATTTTGAAAAATGGCTTAACCTTATAGATTCTCCTGAGGCTCCTTCTAATAGAACCTAATTATAAGCCGTCAGTTCTCATTATGGGAATGAGTGAACAGCTCAGCTTCCCAGCCCCCTAAATTTGGTATGCTTCAGAGCCTCTTTTTACTTTAGGTATAAATGCCCCCTGGGAATCATATAACTGGGGATGGGACACTAGATGGGGAGGGCTCTGAGTTACTAAAGAGAATTCTTTCCCGGGTGTCTGTCTGGTGGGTCTTGCCCACATGCTCAGGGTCCAACTGATCGGCATATTTGAGGGCTGGAAGGAATTTCCCTCCAGGTCAGATTGGCATAGACCTGGGGGTGGGAGCCGGGGGGGGTTCACTTTCCTCTGAAGCATGGGGCATGAGTTACTTGCTAGTTTGAACTAGAGTAAATGGTGGAATTCTGTGTAACTTGAAGTCTTTAAAAGAACAGTTGAGGACTTCAGTAACTCGCCAGAGGTTAGGAGTCTATTACAGGAGTGCAGGGTCGGCTCCAAGTTTTTTGCTGCCCCAAGCAAAAAAATTTTCCCGCACCCCCTGGCCCCGCCCCAACTCCACCCCTTCCCCGCCCCATTCCAACCGCTTCCCCAAATCCCCGGCCCCGCCTCCTCCCCCGGGCATGCCGCATTTCCCCTCCTACCCCTCCTTCCTGGAGTGGTTCCTCTGCCCCCCCCCCAGGGTTACTTCCTGCGGCCCTCCCCACGCCCCCCCCCCAACAGCTCACCTCCGCTCCGCCTGCTCCCCTGAGCGCGCCGCTGCCGCTCCGCTTCTCCCCCCTCCCTTCCAGGCTTGCCGCAAAACAGCTGATTCACGCAGCAAGCCTGGGAGGGAGGGGGGAGAAGCGGAGCGGCGGCGCACTCGGGGGAGGAAGCGGAGGTGAGCTGGGGGGGGAGCGGTTCCTCTGCGCCCCCCCCCGGGTTACTTCCTGCGGCTCTCCCCGCGCCCCCCACAGCTCACCTCCGCTCAGGGCCGGCGCCCGAAGGAAAAAAAAAAAGGAGCCGGACTGCCGCCCCTTGGGGAGTACCGCCCCAAGCACATGCTTGGAGGGCTGGTGCCTAGAGCCAGCCTGCAGGAGTGGGTGGGTGAGGTTCTGGGGCCTGTGATGTGCAGGAGGTCAAACTAGATGATCATGATGGTCCCTTCTGGCCTTGGAGTCTAGGAGTCGAAAGCATTTTGACTTGTGTGAGAAAGCAGGTGGAGTCTCTCTAAGAAGCCAGCATGCACTGGGGCCGGCAAATTTTGGAGTGCTCTGAAACATGCAACATGAAAACTCTGTGTGTGTTTGTGTGCACGGGTGCATGTATTGGGGGGTGGGGGGGGATCCCTTCCAAAGATTCTCAGCTGACATCAGAAGAGCATTAAATGCAGCTAAGAGCAACTGTTGTGAAATTCTTTAACTAAACCACTTTCGAGCAGAGCCCATTAATTGACTGATGTAGGAGAAAGGTTTTGGGATCCATGCCCAGTGAGCCATTAACTTATCAAAAGTGCCCAAGAGATGCTAGAAATAAAAAGAATCAGTGTGAAAAATGCAACAATACCTGCAGCATTTTCAATGAGAACGAGTCGGGAATTTTTTGACTAAACATTTTTTCATCAGAAGATTCCAATTCACCAAAGATTAAACTTTTTGAGGGAATGAATGGGTTGGTTCTGATAATTTTCAACTCAATAAAAGTTTTGACTAATAACAGAGATTTGAAATTGTCATTGTTTTGTTTCATCATTTTCAAAATGAAAACATCAGTTTTTTTCAGTTTGAATGACTTTTTGTTTTGAAATTTAGGATGATTTTAGTAATAAAAAAATTAAATGCTCAAAACTGAAACAAACCAGTTCAAAATGAAACGTTTCAATTGGCCTGAATTGATTATTTTTTTCTGCGTTTTGGGTTTGTAGAAATTTTCAAGATTTTGACTTTTCCTCCCGATTCGTGGTAGGATAATTTTTTTCATATCTTGAAAATGTTCAGGGGAGAAGAAAACTGTTTCCTGCCCAGCTGTGTTTCAGTCCCTAGTGCAAAACATTGGAAAATGTAGATGTTATCAGCATGGCCACTAACCTGCTGTGCCTACTTCCCCCTCTGCCTCACACTCTCGTCCCACCAAGACAAGGGTTGACAAAGTGTATGAAAGAGACAAGCTCCCTGTGGTATCTGTCAGGGACGGGTATGGCCCATCCAGGGATACACACTATGTTTGCCGGTTTCAGTAGTGCTCAGTGCTGTTGTAGAACCCTTCCCTTGTGGCAGCCTACAACGCTCTGTGAATTCCTTGATGGCTGTAAAAAAGCAAAGTGTCGCATTCCAGCAAACCATGTCCATCTAATCTGGATCACCAGTGCCCTCTAATTCGGGCTTGGAAAGTATTTCTGAATCCCATGCACCCTAGCCTCAGAAATCATCACCAGCATTTCCCAGGCTGGAGCCAGCACCTGAGGAAGGAATTAATGATGGTAGCAGAGAGAAGGAATGTGTTGCGTAGAAGCAAACTGAGAGCTTCAAGCCCATGTCTTATTGTTACTCCCCATTCTCAGGATGGAGACTAAAGACATCCCAGCTGCTGTACAATGGCTTGAAAAGACACATACCTCAAGGCCTACATTGTTCATGTGTAAATAATAATGAATGGAGCTGTAAGAACAAAAGGGCCTCTGCTCTAGATCAATCCTGTTCATCTGTTCCATATGGAATGTCACTGGGAGCGAAGGCCTATGTTCTTATGACTAGACTACCACTCCTACCCTCAGCTGGGTCCATGTGTAGAGTGCCTAGTGTGTGCAATGGAGCCCCGGTCCATGACTGGGTCTCCAGGCACTACCATAATACACCTAATAAACAATGAGATGTATGTGGACTGGAGAAACATTGCCCTAGGATGATGTTCATCATCCTTCTTTGTGACTATCCCCAAATGTATGGAAGAGGAAATCTGTCTTGTAAATGAGTTCACTGGCCTGGGAGTCAGGTAAACTGGGTTGCAATCCTGGGTCTGCCATGGACTCATTGCATGATCTTGGGCAAGTCATGTAGGCCAAGATTTTCAAAAGTGACTAGTGATTTTAAGCACCCAACCTGAGACACCCGTAAAAGGGGCCTGATTTCAGAGGGCAAATGCTTGGCACTTTCTGAAAAATCGAGCCCCGTTTTTAAAGCATTTCAAGCTGGGCATCCAAAATCACTAGCCACGCTTGAAAATTTTAGCCTTAAAAAAATCTTGCTGTGCCTCAGTTTCCCCCTCTGTGAAAGAGGGATGATGATACTCATCGACCACACAGGGGTGTTATAAAGCTTAAGTCATTCATATTTGTAAAGTGATAGGAGATTCTTGGATGGAAGGTGCTATTGAAGTACCAATTATTAACATGACTCTTGGTTATTTCCCAGTTGCCTGGAACATGAGAGAGGCAGCAGGATTCCAAATCTGGCAGAGCTCCAAATGAACCATTCTTGTGGGTTCCACTACATGGCTGAGAAAGCCATCTGACTGCTGGTGTTGGTAAGTCCAAAGACACATTCACAAACCTTGGATCAGTAACTGGTTCAAAGATAGGAAAGAAAAGGTAGGAATAAATGGTCAATTTTCACCAGGGAAAGAGGTAAATAGCAGGGTCAGTATGGGGGTCAGTGCTGTTCAAGATATTCATAAATGATCTGGAAAAAGGGGTTCACGGTGAGGTGGCAAAATTTTCAGATGATACAAAATTACTCAAGCTAGTTAAGTCCAAAGCAGACTGCTAAGAGTTATAAAGGGATCTCACAAAACTTGGTGACTGGGCTAAAAAATTACAGATAAAACTGAATGTTGATGAATGCAAATTAATGCACATTGGAAAACATAATCCCAACTATACATACAAATGATGGGGGTCTACATTAGTTGTTACCACTTAGGAAAGAGATGATGGAATCATCGCGCAGAGTTCTCTGAAAATATCTGCTCACTGTGCCCTGGCAGTCAAAAACGCTAACGGAATGTTAGGAACCATTACGAAAGGGTTAGATAATAAGACAGAAAAATTATAAATCCACTATATAAATTCATGGTACGCCCACACCTTGAATACTGCGTGCAGTTCTGATCACCCCATCTCAAAAAAGATAGATTAGAATTGGAAAACGTACAGAGAAGGGCAACAAAAATGACGACGGGTATGGAACAGCCTGTATGAGGTAGGGTGACTAGATAGCAAATGTGAAAGATCGCGACAGGGGGTGGGGAGTAATAGGTTCCTATATAAGAAAAAGCCCCAAATATCAGGACGGTCCCTATAAAATCGGGACATCTGGTCACCCTAGTAAGAGGAGAGGTTCATCTTAGAAAAGAGACAACTAAGGGGTGGGGGGATATCATGATAGTGGTCAATAAAATCAAGACTGATGTAGGGAAAGTGAATAGGGAAGTGTGTTACTTACCCCTTCACATAACACACGAACCAAGGGTCACTCCATGACATTAATATGCAGCAGGTTTAAAACAAACAATAGGAAGTACTTCTTCACACATTGCATAGTCAACCTGTGGAACTCATTGCCAGGGGATGTTGTGAAGGCCAAAACTATAACTAGGTTCCAAAAAGAATGAGAAGTTCATGGAGGATAGGTCCTTCAATGGTTCAGCTTGGTGTTGAGACTTTTAAGATGTTTCTGACATACCATCACTGGAGTTAACCTAGGCATAGTTGAAAAAGGCATGATTTCTTTCTGCAAGGTCCATCTGTTCCATCTCTACTTGAGTAGGTAACTGGCAAACCTCCAGAGGACCGAGGTTTGGTTCAGATAAACACCTAGAAGGTAGTAGGATGATCAGCTAGAGAAGTGCTGCTCAAAACGTAGCTCACAGACGCTTTCCTGGTGATCTGCAGAATGAACCACTGCTGGGCAACATCACATGGCAGGGGATTGGGAGAGATAGGTCGATGGAAGAATCTTTCTCCTGTGAAGTGGCTTTCTGAATGAAAGAGCTGGACAGCTACAGCAATGTAATCTTTCCAAACCTCTTAGGTTTGCAGATTTCGGATGGAAACCTCACTAACCCTCACTTCCTTGCAAGTCATTGGGATGTTTCTGGAGTAAGTGGATTATTTGCTGTTTAGGCTACAATTACCCTAAAGGACTCTCTAGTGGTATTTTGGTACCTTCTGGACTCGGGTCAGAACTGGAAGTCCAAGAGGGGGTGACAGGAAAAGCAAGAATAAGGTAAGAAAAAAAGGTATCCACATGTTTTTGAACAGATGTTTGATTGAAGGGAGGAGGTTGGTGATACTTTGTGAGCAAGAAACCCAAATGTTGAAGTTCTTACTCAGGCAAAACTCATTAGAAAAACCCCATTTCCCTTTACCCATCTTAGCTCAGAAAACAGAAACAATTCCATAAATTGGTTGTTTCTTGTCTGCTGCAGCATCAGTCTCTCCTGCACTAGCCCACCCCTGCTACATGGGGAGATGGTGGGGGGGGGAGCAGCAGTCCATCCACCTGTTTCCATTGGATTTCTAGTGGCCTGAGGTGTCAGAGAAACTTGTATTAAAAACAAAAACCACAAACATGTCAGTTTGGGACCAAATGTGACCTGATGAATGTTTAACTCTCAGCCAGCTCCACAACAGGCAGAAGCTGCAGAGCGCTACAAAAGTCTCCCTTGCTTCCTTTACAATACTAATGGGACACGGAGCGTTCTCTGGTCCATTAGCTGGAGCTGCAGGCACGCATCATCCCCAGACACTGTGCCACCGCCAAGCCCTCCATCTTCAGGGGCTGCTGGAGCTTGGAAAAAATCAGCCCAGATAGAAATATGCTTCCTCATAACAACAGTGACTTATCGATCTTGTCTGCTGGCCCTCGCTTCCTGCCGTTAATGCCTCTGGCACCGCCCCTTCGCCCTATCGACCTGCAGCTGGGCCAGCCTGGTTCTCTCTGGGTGCGGGGAGAGGAGCAAGAGACAGAGCCAACCCCCTGTTGCAGACAGCCCCTCTGGCTTCTCTTCAGCACCTCTTTCACCCCCCATTGTTCCCCCCTTGGACCAAATGCTCCATCCCCAGTCCCTCACCCTCTCTGCAGCTGCATGCTGCCAGTCTCAGCTTCTCCCGCAGCCCAGATACATTATCCCCAGAGCTGCCTCCAGTCCATAGGCCTGGGCCCTGCAGGATCACTATTATAAGCTGGGCTGGTTGGACCATTACCCAAGTGCATCCCTGTGCACCCCTCTCTCCTGCCCACCCCACTTTCTCCCTACACTGCAGCCCTGCTTGGCCCCTTCCCACCAATACCCCATCCCCACGCTACAGCCCCACCTGCCCCCCTTCCCAGCAATACCCCATCCCCACGCTGCAGCCCTGCCTGCCCCCTTCCCAGCAATACCCCATCACCATGCTGCAGCCCTGCCTGCTCCCTTTCCCATGCAACAGCCCCGCCTGCCCCCTTCCCAGCAATGCTACAGCCCCACCTGCCCAGCAATACCCCATCCCCATGCTACAGCTCTGCCTGCCCTCCTTCCCAGCAGTACCCCATCCCCACCCTGCCGCCCCGCCTGCCCTCCTTCCCAGCAGTACCCCACCCCACCCTGCCGCCCCGCCTGCCCCCCTTCCCAGCAGTACCCCATCCCCACCCTGCCGCCCCACCTGCCCTCCTACCCAGCAGTACCCCATCCCCACCCTGCCGCCCAGCCTGCCCTCCTTCCCAGCAGTACCCCATCCCCACCCTGCCGCCCCGCCTGCCCCCCTTCCCAGCAATACCCCATCCCCACGCTACAGCCCCGCCTGCCCCCTTCCCAGCAGTTCCCCCTGCACGCTGGTACATCCAACCTCTTCCTCCTCAAAACAGCTCCAAGCCCCCCTATGCTGCTACAACCTCCTCCTCCCCACGGCTCGGCCCCTTCTCTTTGATCCTTCCTGGGTACAGCCACCCCACTCTTTGCTTCCCCTTCCCAGCTCAGCTCCTCCCCAAATCACGCCCCCCTCCTAGCCTGGGTCCTCCAGCGCCTCCTAAGAGGGCGGACTCTCTGCAGCTCGGGTGCATTGGTCAATTTTCATGTCAGTCCCCCCCCCCATCCCCGGGGGCTGTGGCTTCCTCTTTGAAATTGTTGCAAGTTTGAGGCGGGGGGAGGCAAGAGCCGGAAAGTCTGGCGATTCCCGCAGGAAGGGAGGGGGGCGGGGGGTTAGGAGGCAGGGCCAAAACGCCGCCCTGGCATGGATCTTGGATTGATGGATTGATTGATTTTTTGCAGCACATGGGAAGCAAAAGTTTTCCTCTTCCCCCTTCCCCGCTGCTGCTTCCCGCCCCTGGTGCCAGCCGGCAGCAGCCAGCCCGGGACCGGGACCGGGACCGGGCGCCCCGCGTGCATCTGCGCTGCTCCTCCCTGGATACTTTGGGGGTGTTTTTGCCCCGCTCTCCTGCGGGCGCTGAGGAATAAAAGGCGATCGGGCCCTGCTCCGGGCTGGGACGGAAGGAGAGAATCAGCCTCCCCCAGCAAGGGTCGCTCTGGGGAAGGGCAGAACTTCAGGGATGTGTAGTTTGCGGGGAGGGTGGTTCAGCTTTGCCCGGCTGCTTTAGTGGACGCAGGGAAGCGACGCAGCTCCGAGCCCGCTCTGCTCCCGTCTCATCATGGGGACGGGCATGTGCTCGAGACGGCAGAAGGGGCTCTTGCAAACCGGCTTCTGCCTGGTGGCGGTGGCTTGTTTGGGCGCCGGAGTGTTTATGTACAGCCACTTGCAGCAGAAGGCGAAGAACGCCGAAGCCCTGGCTCTGAAATTCAAACAGCAGCACGAAGCTCTGTCCGCCCAGCTACAAGGTGAGGGAACCCCCTGTGCGTTCGGGTTTGCGCCTCCCCCGTTTCAAGGGGTCTGTTGTAGGAGTCCTCCGCGGCCCCACTAACCAGTGTGAGCTGCTGTTTGTAAACCGGCTCGGCTGCTGATTGAAAGGGGGTTAAAAATACATTGCCCCAGTCTGCTTCTTTCTTAACCTCCCTGTCTGGAAATAGACTCACTGGGCATCTCCGGTTCTCTCTGCAAATAGCACGCAGGGTCCCCTGGGTCTGTGTTTAATTGTGGAGTTCAGTTACATCTAATCTGCCCTGGTTTCTGTCCTGGTAGTTTCTTTAGATCATTGGCACAAGCTTGGTGTAACTTTTTTATTTTTGAATTCTATCAACTGACTCTTATTTCGCTAGGCAGAATCAGACCCGTAATACCCAGCTCTTCTGGAGGAAGAAAGTTAGGTGACAGGATACCGAATTGTGGGAGGGAAATTTTTTTTTAAGTGATCATAACATCCGGTACAGCTGTTTTGAGCAAAGAAACCCCCTCAATTTAGTGAGAAAATGGATCTGCTGTTCCTGTAGAGTTCCTCCCCGTCTGTTTTGTTGTTGATGGATGCTAATATAATGCCACAGCAATGAGGCATGCTTAGGGGGAATTGACTATGCAGGGCCCATCCCTGGAATCCAAAGGGATATCGCTTTTGTGGGGCTGTCTCTCTCTGTAATTTTTCCAGAAGGACCACCCACTTAGACTGGCAGAGTTTCTGCACAGATACCCCACTAGCAGCAAACTTTTTAAAAATGTTGTTTTCCCCCTTTTCCTTCAAAAAAATCTCCAAACTTGGGAATATTTAATTTTAGCTACTGGAGAGATTTCCCAGAATGGCAGGATGGAAGACGCATGGTGTTCTTGTTCTGAACTCTCTTCCTTTTCTAGACTATGCATTCTAGACTTTTTGTGTCTGCTAAAACTAGAGCTCCCAGTATTAACACTGCATCCGAAGAATGCATCGGAAGAAGTGGGCTGTAGTCCACGAAAGCTTATGCTCTAATAAATTTGTTAGTCTCTAAGGTGCCACAAGTACCCCTGTTCTTTTTGCGGATACAGACTAACACGGCTGCTACTCTGAAACCAGTATTAACACCAGCATTCTCCCTAGGGCCTGAGGCTGTCTGTATCTTTGTTAGATTGAAGTAGAGGGATTTATTCCTTGGAGTCCAATTCTCTGGAGCCCAGAGCTCTGCATCTGTAGGGTGGACTCAGCTATGGAATGAATGCCCACAGAACACATTTCATATGGCTACACGCCACTCTGATTCTGGTGTCTCAAGGACAAGAGAATCACTTAAACATATTTCTTGTCATAAATAATAGACTAGATTCTGGCATTTAAAGCCAAGATTGTTCCTCAGGCTCAGAACAGTTATGACCTCCATCAGATATAAAATTATATCTTATGGACGGTAGCCTGCATTGCTAAGAAGGTCTATTGGTTCCATCCCTGCCATTGCTTCAGCATAATCCTGCTCAAGGCATTTTCTTTTCTGGGTCAAATCTTCCAAAGTGTGCGCATGCTGCATTGCATGCCTGCAGGTGCCAGTGCTCGTCTTGCAATTTGGACTCTGTTCCCATCTGTAAAATGGGTAGAGTGACTTTTCACCTGTCTCACAGGGGTGTAGCAAAGTGTAAATCTATGGAGTGCTGTGTATGTGCTCAGTACTTCCAGTTCGCTTCTGTTTTTCTGCTAATCACTTGTGGCATTAAGGCAGCAGCTACAGATAGTGCCTCCAGCACCGCCCTACCAGAGGCCTCCCACATGGACCTCTGATCAGAGGCAGCTGGGTCCAGAGAGAAGGATCAGCAGTGCAGATATTCAGTCCACGTTATTTCTGCTGACGCTCACCATCGGGGTGGGGTGGATGTTAAAAGAATAAGTTGAGACCACCGATCTCTTGGACCTGGTTCTGGGAGCAGGACAGAGGAAGTTACTGAAGTCAGGCTCATAATGTTATTCCACTCAGAGAAAGTTTGTTTGGATGCGTGGACAGGTAGCAAGTAACCTGGTCAATTTCAGCCCTACCACTAGCAAATACAGGCATTGCCATGGAAACCCTTCATATTTTGGGAACATTTTGTCCAGTTATTTTAAGAAAAATGAAAGTTTGATTCAGATTCTGTTGGCAAGAGAGGCAGAACAGGCTGGCATCTGCAAAGCTGTCAGCACTGTTCATAGATACCTTCAGGTACATTGGTAGTTGCGCATCTTGCTGTATATCTCATGCTGTCTTCCCATACCTCCACCAGCATTGGTCTGGTGCTTAAAGCCGGGGAGTGGGCTCAGGGCTCCTGGGGGCTGTACCCAGCTCTGCAGCTGTCTTGCTCTAAGACTTCGAGTATGTTGCTTTACTCACTTGGTGCCTCAGTTTCCCCCATCTGTGT